GTGCTTGTCAAAATTGTACATGCCGTGCCTACACCTTAGCTGATGCCAATTTTATACTCGGACGACATACGCGTCAGACGCTAACCAAGCTATGCCCAGTGAAGCCTTTTGCGTGCGGAAAGTGAGATCAGATTCATCATTGTTATGTATAGTTATCTGTCGGACGCAGGTAACGACGGACATAACTTACTAAGGTGCGGGCAAGCCTGTATCCTTCTGCTGCTCGTCCCAATGCTCTTTATACTTTATAAAAACCAGCTCGTCAGCCTTCGTAAAGGAGACCTGGTTGGACGTGCTTTTTTAAAATCAGCATTGATCACGTCGGGAGTATATCCCAATTTCGCCTAGGTATGAAACAACTGGACCTCTAGTCCTTTGAACATTCGTGGGCATATCTGTTTACCGTTGTAAATTAGCACTGAAGCACGGCGGTTTCTAAACACCGACAACAACTCACTGATGACTTCTGATGACGTCTTATAAAGCCCGTCGACACAGAAAATGACAAATCGAATCAAGGTGCCCAAGGTTTTAGTCGCCAAAACATTTGCTCCTGTGACGAGGGCCTCAGCAAGCCAACAGCGACTTTGACCGTCAATTTATCTGCTGTCTATTCCTTGGATAAAGACGTTTGCATCTCCAGTGCCAGGGGCCAATTCTTCATATCGAGATTCGCAAACGCGAAAATGTCGCAAGTTTGTCCACGTAACGGAAGAATTGTTGTGCTTCCCCTAGCAATGTCAGCGTTGTGCCTTTATTCGTGTTGTACCTCAAGAGGTACGTCTCCAGATACACAAGGTCCAGAGTCGTAGCAGGAAGTACGAGAGAGCTATGCATCGACTTTGAAAGAATCACCTGCACCGAATGCCGCCTCGATGATATCTTAACATCAAGTTCACCATGTCTTATGCTCTCTCCCATGGCCTTTTGTTTCGCTTCCTTATCCATCTGAAATGCTCGAGCCGCGTCACTATAGTCGCTTTGTCCAGATTTTGCTACGCTTGACATGATAGCGTGCTCCTGTACCATTGTCAGCAATTTCGGGGGTGCTCGTGTAGGGACGCGAGGTAATCCAAAAGAGCAGCCCGATCAAAGGCTCTTTTCGAGTCCAGGTCACGGCGGGAGAGGCCGCGTAGGTTTACATCATGTTTATGCATGTGTTTTACCAGTACGCTTAATGCACATTTCAGTTTAGTCCAAATCGGCGCAGCTGCTTTCTCTACCAGCCGTAAGTCCTTGTGTCTTTAACATCTCCTTCACAGGTACGCCATCATGACTGCCGTCAGGTGGACGTACACTGGCCGGGGAGTTGAATGTTGTCATCGTGTCGTTTGATGTCCCCGAAGAGCCTGCGTTGTGTGTTAGGATTGCGGTGGAAGTCACGAGTGCGACAGCGTAGACACGCACCATTAATAATGTCGATGTGAATCGGAAAGAGATTAAACAAAATTTGATGTCTGAAGTCTGTACCCTCCTTCCTATGTGTCTGGATATCGCTAGGTGTGCCCTACACGTCATACCAAGAGCGGTGCAGCATTTGTTCCATATCATTACTCGATAGGCATCATTGTTAGCCCACAGGGCAAAGCTATTAGTTAGTGTGCGCAAGGTTACATGCCAAAATTTTGAATCGTATTTATCTGTGTGTACGTCTGTGAATAGCGCGGCGAGGTGCACCTTACACATACCAAGTGCGATTGAGTCTGTCCCCCCTCATAGGTATATAGGCATATCCGAAGTCACGCTTTGGCTAGGTCACTATTGTAGCGCACGCTTGTGATTGGCTTAAAATCGATCAAACCTGAATAGGATCACTTAAGTGAAGGCAGGATAAGCAAGCGAAGGCTGATTGCGTTGCCCGAGTATACTGTACTGGGTTCATTCAGACTTAAACATCATCACATTCATTTTTCAGTGGCTGATGTTGTATAGAGTTTTGCAACTTGATTCAATTGTCCGGACTGAATTACTTATATCATGGGGCGAGCTCCAGAGCTCGCTCCCCATCTTCTATAAAATTGATTTAGGGCGGACAGAAGGCTACCAAGCGAAAGCTAGACGCAGGGGCGGGGAAAGCATAGCAACTTTTGCAAAGAGTGTTTGTGAAGTGGTTATCATCTGAGGTACTTAGTATACTAAGACAGTAAGAGGATACGGTCACAGTTTTCTCTTGGTCGTAGATCAAACTTTCTCGATCGAATTTCTCGTTATCATTTGTTTATCAAATGTTATAGGCCGCATTTTGTTGTTTGCGGTGTTGCTGGGTAGGATCATCCGCGTTTCTCTTTTTTGGATTCGTCTATTTAAGAATTCAACAACATCAACGCACTGCTACAATTACACACAATCTACCAACACTCTTATTGATGGACAAATCCAAAACCATTTCCTCGCCGCCAATCCCTAAAATGGATACATGCATTTACATAACTTGATTTTAGTTCTATGGACTGAATTCCTCATATCAAATGGCAAGCTTTAGAGCTTGAATTTCTATCTTAGATTCTCGAAGTTTACAGTTTTCGTAGTCGCGATACATCGGAATCTTGTAGGCCCCTCCCTGAATTTTTAGTTCTCCCTCCATCGATTTTATCTGAAATAGTTCTGGAAGCTGCACAAAACCTCTCGAACAAACATTACTTTGCCATCTCTTCTTTTGCACGGATAAAAAGCACGTACGTATTTTCTTCGCTGACGTATCTCGGATCCAGAAATAGGTAATAATGTTAGCCACAGCCTTGACTCAAGGACATGACACATCACTGATTCGAGCCGGCAAAATGGTCACGACGTTAAGTTTAATCCATTCGTGGATCGTCTCTTCCATATCCAATTGTAGCCTTAGCTCGTTATCTTAACTGCTGTTTACCAAAGCCTACCTGCGCAAAGTCAATAGCCGCAATTGGGGTGGACATGGAAGAGGCGATCCGCGAAGGGATAAAACAAACGACGTCTTAGTCCGTTTGCAGGCTTGACTCGGTGATGCTTTGAGTGGCACTGTACAGCTGATTTTATAAAATGAGCCGTTTTCACCACACGAGGTATACTATCTTCCCCCTCTCGTCGTATATGGTTAGATCTGATTCGTGATAATTTCTTCGAGGTTTGTTTGGAGTTCTGATACATAAACCGTCTTCTTCGGCGTCCGTTAAGATAGTTTCGTGGCGCCACGCGCATCTACTTTGATAATGTGTACGTCTTTACGGGAAGAGTCGGTATTCGAATAGCGGATTAGGCACTGGTTTGCATGCTTTGCGATAAAAAGATTTGCAACAACACATCAAACTGTCGAAGTGCCAGTTCTATGCGGCAGAGTCCCGAGTCTCAATGACTTTGGCGATCGCAACGACTTGCAAATGGATCTGGCTAGGGCCAAGGTCATACAGAAACACTTCCATTCAGCATATGGTCGGCCTTCGATCAGGGGCTTGATTGTGATTTTTTGGTTGGCAACACAAAATTCATGGGGTCCAGATTTGGGCAGGATTTCTGCTGAGTGGATATAGCAGTGGCCCTCCGTGAAGCCTCAACTCTAGCACAGCAGCACGACAGCATAGCAATATTTGACGCCTTATAGCAGTTAGAAGTTTTGACGTCACGACATCCCGCGCAATTGATTCTCTCATCAAGTTATGAACTCGTCGTCTTCACCCTGTGCTTGTATCTTCAAACCGTATAGGCGCGTATCGATGTAGTCAGTAATCAATGCGCCAACGCCAGACATAGAGAATGCTTGGAAAAGCGAACAAGAAGAAAGCTATAGAAAGAGAAGATGCTTTACTGTAACAAACAATGCATACTGACACTCCATCATAGGCTACCACCATAACGCATGCATAAACAAGAAGAGAAGCTGCAACCAGAGCCCCCGTGGTGAACTACTTAGAGCACCACTCGCACTCCAACATTTGCAGGTTTAATACCTCCATCGAAGGGAAGGCCCCTGACCTCCTTAGGATTTTATGTATCATGTAATACCGACTGGCTGGTGCCCCGTCAAGCCATGTACGATCGATCAGTGCCTCAATAAGACAACACATACAAGTAACAGCTGCCGAATTGCGTATGTTTAGGCTGTCAAAGATCGAATGGATCACAATAAGGTAGAAGTTTGAAAGTAGAACCGGACGCCAGGAGTGCAAGATGTTGCAGCTTTCAGTGTATGATGCCGAAGTTGGCTATGTATACCGGGACATTACAAGCGCTACATGAGCTCGGTTTTACGACTGGAGTCACACAAGAGGACATCTCGTTGCACGCAGGCAACACAATAGACTTTATTAAACGTAACACCATGTTGGCAAGACGCTCGCTAGCGACTAAAAACTCGCATGGAAAGAGAGGTGAATAGCGTCGCGTCAAAGCCATTTACGCGCTAAACGTCAGCACTAAGACGAACGGGTCCTCTGAATTCACGTAGTACAAGATGTCGCACATAAACTTGATTGTTAAGCACTTATCGACATCAACGTGCAAAGCATGATCTGACACCGGTCGCTATCGGCGTGGGAAAAAGTCATGAAGACACGCGACAGGACTTGACTACCGGTCACTCCCAGGCTAATGGCGGTAATGCTTTGTTGCAGAAACCAACGAGACTGAGTAAAATGAACTACATTGCTGTGAGTTCCGACACTGCGAGCGCCAATACTTGCAAATCGTCTCAACGGTGAAGCGTGTTTGTACTAGACTACGTACTCTACTACGCTACATGTTCACATGTCTTGAATGCATCGATAATTACAACTAATGCCTGGACTCATTACCGTGCTGACACGAATGCCGCTCGAAGGATCAATAGCGCACCAAGATGCGCCAGTTATGTTATCTGGCAACTCGATTCAATGTCCAGCGGAACGTCTACAGAGCGGGTACACGCTGCTTTGTCGTAAATACATGAGGGAAACGCTCATGCAAAACGGCAGCAAATATCGACAAGTTGTAGCAACACGTAAACCGAGGCGACTCCATTTCCATGCCAACTCTCAACCATTTCTACCTCACTCTATGTCCTTGTTTACTACGCAGGTATAACCCTCCAACTTAATGTGTTCGCCCACATCAGCTTCTCCTTCGTCGGCCTCTTTGCCATCGTTTCCATCCAACTCACAGTCTGCTGTCGCATACTTCTGCTTCGACTTGGCTCGTCGGTTCGCTTTTTTACGACGCAGTTGGGCAATTTTCTCATTGTGTTTACTTAGCGACCCGTTTACGTGGTCGTCCAGTTTCTGCAGCAACAATTTCCGAGCGACGCGACGGTTGTCGTCCAGTGAGCGTGTCTTCTGAGTGCGAACTTGCAAACCCGTTGGCAAGTGCGTCAAAAGTACGCAGTTGCGCACTTTGTTGATCTTCTGGCCACCCTTGCCTAACATATTGCGGAGAAAAACGACAGTGTCAGAATTAGTAGTTCTAATTCGAGACAGCTTCAAATCAGGCAGAGCAGTATCGACCGGTATCATACCGGAGCCCTTGACAAAAGACTCGTTCAGGTCGCACGCCTTCAGTTCGACGACTTTGCGCTGCTTAGACTTCAGAAGATCGTTCGATGAGCCGAACAAGCGATATTGGCGTATAGGCATCACATCCAACGAGCACAAAGTGGTGTGAAATGAATTGACGGATTTCCATCGGGACGGTACAGGGAAGAATCGCATCATGGTGGGGTAAAATGCTTTTTAGGTGTCGCAATTTTGTCACAGCAATTGAATCTGAAAAGAAGAGTTAAGGGTTGATTTGATACTAGATTAATGTCCTTGCTCTTCCTGGCTGAATCCACATTATGACGATCGGAGTGCAATCAATTGACAATTCACTGGGCAAGCATCGACCCTTTTCCTGACATTTGCACGGGGAAATGCAGCGGCTACCTATCGCGTAAAACAACAGTCAAATGTGGCTGGACAGTGTGCACGACGCGTCAACTGGACGTACCGTCTGATCTGTATTTTTGTGGTGCTGGAGCGGTAATGGGTAGATCCATAATGGGTAAAAAGCTGAACCAAGGGGCAGCTACGCCACCTACGCTTTACTGTGCGAACGAAAATGAAAACGCGTGCCACTCAGCTACATCCGTCTTTTGCTAAGATGCAAGCCATGTGACATCGCACAACCGTTCATTCGATCCTTTTTACACGGAGGTGAAACAACTGTTCGAGCGCAATTCAGATGATGCAAGAAAGTGCAAAGACCACCAACATGTCGCTTACACAGCTCATGTAGATATTGAATATTGGCATGCACATCCGATATTTTCACACGTAGTGGACATCATCTAGGAGTCCTGCGGAAGTAGAAAGCCAGTGACAATGACATCACTTTACGCATTAAGCACCACCCAGTCATCGGATGTCGTGCTACTTTCTAAGAATATGTGAGAGGCACCAGGATCCCCGACGTCTGCTACGTGTGGCGCCAGACCTCATTTCAGCCTAAAATAATATGCTTTGATGTAAAGAAAAGCAAGAGTAGCTAAAGTAATCACTTTTGCTGGATCATCGCAGGGTTTCGCTATCCAGTATACTGATGCACTAGTGTCTGTATTTAAAACGTAAATGTGCCATGGGGATTGCGTTTGATACCAAGCTGGAGCAGGAGCAGCACGTGACGGTCGTGCGCGCGACAGACGGCGAGAGTTGCACTCCAGGACCAACTCGTCGTAAAATGACTCTTTGTCAGCACGCTAACGTAGTCAGGGCGATAGGGGACGGACCGATGCGTTTACGTTGAAATGTATCGAAGTTGCCATTTTAAAGACAAGACGAGCAAGGTGTCGCATGAAACAGGTGTATCATGGGTACACCAAGTGCGTGTAGCGACCCGTTACGGCTTTTGTGGTCCCGTTGCATGATTGCACACCTGATCGTACGCAGACGTACAATTGGAGCAGAGAGCAACCACCAGCTTTTTATGAGACAGACACGGCGAATGAAGGCCGACTTCATGTATCGCATTCGCGCAGAATCCTGTTGGCTGTACGTAAGATGTAGGAGAAGACCAGGCATGATACTACTTGCTTGATATCGGTACGGGCCGATTGCAGGCGTCGAAATTCATCGTACAGCACCTGTACGAGAAAGGAGACAGCACTCTTCCCCAAATGATATGGATATTGATTCCGTTGCTCTGCACCCACCTGATTCACTGACCAGCAATCCTTCATGCGCTTACGATTTCGGAGGCTTCCGGCAATGGTGCCAAAGATTTGACTGCGAACTCTTCTTGTTTTGCCAGGTGATTCCAATGGTGTGAAGTAAACATACTGCAACATACAAAGCAAGTTCACGACGCATTGCTTTGATGAGTCTCCTATTGTACTTCCCAGATCCTCGAAAGTAACTTCTACATTGTACAAGATTATCCCAGAAGTGCATATGTCCCTACGCTTCGTGATTTCCTGAAGCTGAATACGAGGATAAAGGATGTAACGGGGCGCCCTTAGCTAGGGTACCACGAAACTTCACCTACACTCGTTTGTGCAGAGGAAAATAAACTTACTCATACCACTAATATGAGTAAAGGTAAAAAGAGAACTGTATTATAGTTAAGCTATCGATATAACCTCAGTCTTTATCTTACTATATTAATCTACATTGTCGAATGACGGCAGCCTGCTCACAACCCATTTCGCGCGTCTAGCAGCGATTGGTGGTAATCTTGGTTAATTTGTCTTTTATCAACCAATGTTCGAGTAGCACGTGAACATTACCTTAAGAAGATATTAATCCTTCAATATTATCCACCTCGGATAACATTGGTAGGATATTGTCATGCTGGACAATATATCTATTGACACCGTCTGGTGTCAATAACATGTAACGGGCTACCCCGTTACATCATTTCTACCCTTCAACATCAATTACCCCGGTGATTATATCAAAATGATTGGGGACAGTATGATCACCGTTGATTAACTCTGGAAAAGGGAGCACTTGTTGGTCAAAGCTCAATTTTTTGCCAATTAATCGCATGATCTAAAGGTCCATGCGGTGCGCTGCCGAAGCGGCCAGGAAGGCGGTTGCACAGATGCGTGCAGCCGAAGAGAGTACTACTTAAGCCTCAGCAGCAGGTGATCGTTCGACTGCTGTTGCAAGTGACCAACAGTGTAACGGGCAACCTGAAGCTTGTACTGGTGACAGTACAAGCTACTTATTCTGATGACAGAATAAGGCGGTGCCTCGTAACTTCACGTACACTCGTACGTGCAGAGGAAGACGGTAAGAAGAAGCGAGTACTTGGTTAAAGTAAAAAGTAGAACTGTATTTATCATAGTTAATGTCTGTTAATAAATCACTATTTATCTTCATCTAACTATGCCTAAATACAAACGTGCAAATCAACTATCTGCTCATCACTCATTGCGTGCGTCTGTCGTGGCGTGTCTTCGTTGGTTGATATAATGGCCTATATCAACCAATTAGGAACTACTCGTAAGTGCTGCAGAATATTTGTCCTTATGACAATATTCTGAGAATATAACTCTTATAGTTATATTCTATTAACAATTTCTCATAAATTGTTATGTAACGATTCACCCCGTTACATCACTCCCCCCTACAATCAGTCACTTTAGTGACTGACTGACTAAATGGATACTCGTCCCAAATCATTTGGGACAGGGTTTGCACTTGTTGGTCCGAATCCACTTTCCAACAATTCATCGCATGGTTAAACAAGCCCATGCGATGCGCGAGCAAGGCCGCCGAGAGCGCGTCCGCACGTCTCTGTGCGGACGCCGAAGCAGAAACCACAGCAACTGATGTCTTATCGGTTGCTAAAGCGACTCAGTCTGTGTCACCTGGTGATGCAGGCGCTCGTCACGAAGACACTCATGTCTTCACAGAGTATGAGCTCGGTGTCTCATACTCTCCTGATACGGAAGACGGATACGTATCGACGGCGATCGAATCCAAGCCGCCTTCCAAGCGTGGCATGGATGATGCTATGCGTCGTAGCATCTTTGGTTCATCTGATTCATCAGATGAACCATCGCCAAAGCGAAGGCGCTCGAGGTCGCGAGACTCGGGCGCGAACAGTGGTGTCGGTTCTCCTATTGACACCACTTCGCAACGAGGTGCCAGTCCTTCTGTCGGAACGTCGCAAGAAGAGCGGGACCGCAGTGTGTTGCATCTCGCTCCCGAGAGAAGGCATGGATGTCTCCCAAATCCGTCATGGATCACTTGTCGGCGACGACGAGTGATCGTTATCGAACACGGTTGTTCGATTCGTCAAGGATCAATCACCTTGACCCCAGCGCGAAAAGCTATCGCGCTGAACATGAATTCTTCATCGATGCTTTCTTCAAACATCGATGGTACAGTGGGAATCACAAACGTGATGGTCCCTCACTGCTTCAAGCGTGGAACGACTATATCCAGAACCTCGAGGATGTAGGTCGTGACGCTTGGAACGACAAACTTATCAAAGCTCGTGATAAGTTTGGAAAGCGAACCCAGACAGGTGCACGCTACAAGCCGCATCTTCTGTCTAGGGAGAAAGGGTTACCCTGCCTCTCCTGGGAAGACTCGTGCCCATGTTTTGTGAACAACTCTGCACGAGCACCTAAGGAGGCTTACCTCCCTAATAGCCCGTGGTGGCGCGTACGTATCTCCAGTGAGATGTACGAAGGGATTGACAACCTGAAATCCCTTTACGACCGCGCCGGGAAGAATTTCTCGAGCGGTCCTTCTGCGGCACAGGATGTGCCGCATCGTACCCCTCGACCAGACCCAGTACGTCAACCATCAGTTGGGAGCGGGGCTCCCAAGTATCCCAGGACGGGGGATAGCCGTGCCACCGGACGAGATAACTCGTCCGACGTCCGTTCACGTCGCGGTGGTTCAACAGCTGCTCAACCAGATAGCGCTGGCCACCGCGAGAGTCCTCTAATGGAGGTGGAGGAGGAGGAAAGACGCTCTCCGCACGATCGTCGGGATCCGTGTGTTCCCAAGAGCTTCTTTGATCGCGTAACGCAAGGGTTACGCGGCGATCTCGAACATAAGCGGGACAGGCGTCTCCAACTGGCGGACACTGTCTTATAGCATCGAGCTGAGTTTGCCTTTGCTCAGCTTGAGAACGAGAGAGCTATGACGTCTCTGCGTGACGAGCTAAGGGTATCTCGTGGGATTGTTGATCGGTCTCGGGCTGAGATAACTGCTCTTCAGACCCTTGTCGATGCCCACCATCGGGAGCACAAGGCTCTCTGCGAGATGCTTGAGCGCAAGGGCGTTCTTCATCGGAAGAAGCAGTGTACTGATGGTACGGCTTAATCCGGCCAACGTAAAACGTGGGATGCGTTCGCATCTTACGTGGCAGTTCGGTCGTGTATGCATTGCCTAGGCGATGCAATACACGAAATGGGCCGATGTACTTGGGTAGAAGTTTACTACTACCCAAGTTAGTCACTACATGCTTTGGTAGATTAACCGTAGACGGTAGGACCAAGTCATTCTTATTGAATAAAAGAGTGTTTGCCTTTCCATTCTTGTCAGCGTTTTGCTTTTGCTTATCCACCGCTTCGGCGATGGAGTCTTGCACAAAACGGACTACCGTTTCACAAGCCAGTATGAACTCATCTGATGACTCGTTAGCTTCAGTGCACGTGAGTGCACTGCAGCAACATCAATCTTTTCTTCAGTGAGGGCTTCCGCACTCTCACTGCATCATCTTCTTCGATATCGATGTTATCGATATCGGCATCAAACGCAATGACCTCTTCGTCAGAGCGTGAAACAAATCCGATTTTGCTCGCGCGAGTCCCTCCCCCCTTAAACCAGAGTCACACTCTAGTAAGGTGGGTACACGCGGATGGCGCAAGCCATTCACGTAAAACGGTGTATGTGTCGTGGGAGCATGCACCGAGTTGTTAATGGCAAACTCTACCATGGGCAAGAACTCACTCCAATTTTTAAAGGAGTGTACGTATCTTCGAAGTATCTCTTCGAGGACACGATTGGCACGTTCCGTCTGACCATCTGACTCTGGATGATCAGATGTAGACATCTTTAAGCGCGTTCCGAGTGATTTGAACACGGAACGCCAGAAATCAGCAGTGAATCATGGATCTCTGTCTGATACGAGTTCACGGGGCAACCCATGAAGTCGGAAAATGGTGTCAATAAAGACACAAGCACAGCCACTTGCCGTGGTTGACTCTGGTAGAGCCACTAGGTATACCATTTTGCTGAATCTGTCAACAAATACGAGAATACCCGTATTCCCGCGTGCGTCTTTGGGTAACCCGAAGACGAAATCCATTGAAATGGATTCCCAGCACTCAGCCGGAACCTGTAGAGGCTGTAAAGGTGCACACAGTGAAGGACTTGACTTCACTCGTTGACAGACTTCGCATGCGCTAACACACTTTCGCACAAACTGATACTGGCGGGGCCAGTGAATGTCTCGACTCACCGTGAGATATGTTTTCTCACGGCCACGATGTCCTCCTATAGGGAGCATCGTGATACTCGAACATGATCCGCAAACGCATATCAGTCTCATCTGGTATGACAACACGTGGTGTGTCACCAGAAACGGCTGTATAATACAGTAAACCGTCGTGAGTAGTGTATCGATCTGATGCAGATCGATACGCAGACGAAAATCGTTTCAACGATTCTCGAGATGGCTGTGAGAGATGTGTCAACAACTTCACAATCTCACCATCTTGGGCATATGCCCGCCTCACATCATCATGCAACGTTGAAGATTGGACTGAGGACGTCATAACCGCAACAGTGACTGTCTCACTGTTGGGTTTCACGACTGGTTCAAAGTCGGGAAGACGTGAGAGTGTATCAGCGACGACATTAAGTCGTCCTGGTTTGTACTCAACCGTAAAGTTGTATTCTGCAAAGAATGACAACCACCGCGCCATTCGTTGTGAAAGGTGCGGGCTGTTTACTGTCGTGCGTAACGAAGCATGGTCAGTGTAAACAATGAAGGGTCTATCTCCTAATGGATAGACTCTGAACTTCGCGAGTGTATACTTCATGGCAAGGACTTCCTTGTCATGCACTGGATAGTTCCGCTTAGCTGGTTGCAGATGACGCGACTGATAGCAGACGACGCGCTCAACGCCTTCAAGATCGTGCTGCATTAATGCACAGCCGATTGCGAAATCGCTGGCATCATAGACCACATGAAATGACCTGTCCTGATCGGCAATTGCTAGACTGGGGATTGTATCAAGCTCTGCTTGATACCATCAAAGGAGCGCTGACATTCAGCGTTCCATAACCACCTCTCGTTCTTTTTCAACAAACGAGAGAGGTGTACAGTCATCTCGGCGTAATTGCGTGAATACTTATGCAAATGCGCCGCTAGCCCAAGGAATTTCCGAAGACCTTTGACATCAACTGGCACAGGCCAGTCGGTGATCGCCTTGATCTTTTCGGGATCAGGACGTACACTTACCAACGATGCACCCAAGAAGTGGTATTTCGCTTGCTGCAAATATAAACTTCTTGAGGTTTGCATACAATTGATGCTTTCGCATGATTGTAAGAACCTGTCGGACGTGGTATCTGTGAACCTCAACGTCCGACCTTCCATCCATAGCCAGACTATGGATGAAGACGTCATCGAAATAACTCGGCGCGAATTCTCGTACTGGTCTCAACAAATGTGATACACATCTGTTGAACGTGGCAGGGGCATTACTAAGAAGCCCTTGTGGCATCACTAGCCACTCCCAGAGCATACCACTGGGGGTGCTAACTGAGGTATAGGGTATATCCCGTTCTCGCATAAGGATTTGATAGAAGCCATCCATCAAATCCATGGACGAAAAGATGGTACTCTTTGACATACCATCAATGATGACGTCCTTCCTCGGTATCGGCGTCTGAGCCGGTACCTTTGCAGCGTTCAATTTGTTGAACGCGTGTACTATCCGCCACCCTCCTGTTGCTTTTCGCACACAGAAGGTCGGAGAGCTGTGTGGGGAAGTTGATTCCCTCACATGGCTCGCAGCTAAACGATCGGCAAAGAACTTGTCGATCGCAAGTACCTGTTCACGAGGCAGTGGCCACTGCTTCAAAACACAGTACTTCGAGCCTGGTTTAAGCTCGACCTCGTGTCAAATACCTTTATCCTTCGGTAATTCGCACGGAACAGTTTCAGGGAATACATCCTTGAATTCAACCAAATCTTCATAGAGAGGATTTGTCTTGAGCGATTCCCACGATTGGGAGTCATATCGCTCAACTCGTGTCTTTTCATCTTGTATTTACATGAAACGAGGTGTTTGGATGAGAGCACCGTTGGTCTAATGGTTAGGATCATCCCTTCCAAGGATGAGGTTGGGATTCGATTCCCCGACGGTGCACTTTTGCTGTAACCCGCAACCTCGTCATCATGCTTCGGACTCTCCTAACTTTTACACTTGCATATTCTTCTGGGCATAACGCCTTAGACGCAACCACAGCGAGATCCTCTACGAAAGGCTCTCCAGTCGATCTAGGATTATCGTTTCGCTTGCTCTCTCGTTCTCAGTGAACACTGTTGCTGACCTAATGTCGGCTACACACTCGTCGTCAGCGACGAGTACGCAGATCTGCTTGACTTTGCCACTACGCAGATCACGCAAGAACCCTTTATGTTCAAGCGTTGGCAACTGAGTGATCTCCGAAGTCAACTTCGGAGGCGCAATCAGATCAAGTGTATAAGCGCCTACACTTGATCCGTTATTGACTATGACATTCAATGTCTCTGTCATTTCCTGGGGACTTATTCCCTCAGGCCTCGAAGGACTTATTCCTTCGGCTTCCCGGGGACTTATTCCCGCGGGTTTCGGGGAACTTATTTCGCCGTATTTGTAATCTTGGGACTTATTCCCTTTACTTCCTCTAGCTGGGGTTGCGCAACCACAGCGAGATCCTCTATGAAAGGCTCTCCAGTCGATCTAGGATTATCTTTTCGCTTGACCTGAGCGATCGATTGTTTCTCTTCTAGATGCTCCCCGCTAGGGATACATCTTTGTCCCGGTCCACTCGACTTATTCGAGCGGTGGACCTTCGGCGCAGCCTGTGTTTCCTCACAGCCGCCGGAACTTTGCTGTAACCGTTTGTTACACTAAGGTTTTGTGCAGTCGTACTAACGACCGTACCACAAGTGAGGCCATCGCACTCACTCGTAGTACATCCACACGCTTGTGGACGCTCCAAAACGTTCATCAGATGGCCATCTGATGAACAAGCGACAGGCATCGTTACTGTTCGATGTTGCCAGTTTACCCGTGGTTCGTACCTTCTGAGCCACGGTATTCCGAGGATGACATCAAATTTGTCATCCAAATCCAATACGATAAAGTCATCGTCATAATATTGGGTATCTTCTAGCGTATAGTAGATCTTCACTATACGCTTCATGACGGTTACGGATGCGCCAGTCGCAAGACGTACCGTCATCCTCGTAGGAGGTGTGTCACATTCACTGAACTTAAAATGACCATCTTCTAGCGATTGGCGTTGCACAAAATTGTTGGACGCCCCACAATCGACTAGAGCTCGAAGGGAAAACTTATTCGTCACTTCGAGTTTCAAAGGTAATGAGTGACATCTCATTACCTGGAGCAGCAACGCACAACGTTTGTGTGTTGGGAGAAACCTTCACCAAGAGGCCTACAAATTCTCTTGACGTTGCTAGACCAGTAGGGTGCTCCGCACTTACTGATCCTGTCCGTTTTTTACGGTCCATCCCGTTGTTGTGTCTTTGCACCAACAGCGAACCCACGTCCCTGCCCCTTTTTCATGGGTGGACGGTCACTACGCCCAGTGTTGCGAGCTACTGGACGGAGGAACACTACACTCGTAAGCGTAGTGTCCTGTCTTTTGACATCTATTGCATTTCTGCAACCTTTTTTTGTAGTCTGTAGAGCGAGCCTTCTTGCTCTCTACATAACCGATTTTCCATCGGCTCTGGACCTCCGTTGTCATATCGTCTTGGTTGACGATATGATGTCGAGCTGGCGCGAGCCTGTCTCAGACTGAAGTCTTCCTGTTCCGCAATGGAAATGGCTTGTTCTAGTGAATCTAGTTCAAGCCGGAACAGGTGAGTCTTGACGGGACCATCCGCAAGACCCTGCATGAACACCGAAACCAACGTGTGTTCATCCACCGGATTGGAACTTATACAACTCGTAGGATGTCGTATATGTTGCGCGTAAGCGTGCACATCACGCTTACCCTGCTTGAGCTTCAAGAGTTCGGTTCGAGCTCTGAACTCAGCACTAGGCGGTTCAAACGTTTGTCTGAGCCGCGACTTGAAGACTTCTAACGACCCAAACGCATATGGGTCGTGCAACTTGAGTCCCAAAGCCCAAGTCTTGGCACGTCCTGCCAATTTTGATTGGGCACATGCAACTTGCATTTCCCCATCGTCGATGCGACGCGCCCTTATGGCATCGTCTAATTCGACGAACCATCTCAAGAGGGAGTCCTCTTTAACTCCCCTATACTTGGAGATGTCAATCTTCAAGGTCTCGGGTCGATGCATTCGCATGCATTCGCGTCGACCCGAGACCTTGAAGATTGACATCTCCAAGTATAGGGGAGTTAAAGAGGACTCCCTCTTGAGATGGTTCGTCGAATTAGACGATGCCATAAGGGCGCGTCGCATCGACGATGGGGAAATGGCACCAGCAGCAGCCTGCTGCTGTCTCAACAGTTCAAACTGTTGAGCACTCTGTTCTCTCAACAACTATGCTTGTTGAGAACCTTGTTGGTGAAGCAAGGCTACTTTATCGCGTTCAGAGAAAAATTCATTCTGAATGAACTTGGCGATAGTAGCATGTTGGGCATCTCTATTAAGAGCCTATAGCATGACGCTAACAGCATGGGTGCCCATGGTTGAACCCATCCGTTCAACTGCATCCCATTTGACATCGCTCAAATGGGAGTAGCCGTCACGCGTAGCGTGAAAGCTTTGGTCATCTTCATCATCTAACATATTCATGTTAGATGTGAACGTGGTACTTGGACGGACTAAGAAGTGCTACCAGGTGTAACGGGGCACCCTGAAGCTTGTACTGGTGACAGTACAAGCTACTTATTCTGATGACAGAATAAGGCGGTGCCTCGGAACTTCACGTACACTCGTACGTGCAGAGGAAGACGGTAAGAAGAAGCGAGTACTTGGTTAAAGTAAAAAGTAGAACTGTATTTATCATAGTTAATGTCTGTTAATAAATCACTATTTATCCTCATCTAACTATGTCTGGATACGAATGTGCATATCAACTATCTACTCACCACTCATTGCGTGCGTCTGTCGTGGCGTGTCTTCGTTGGTTGATATAATGGCCTATATCAACCAATTAGGAACTACTCGTAAGTGCTGCAGAATATTTGTCCTTATGACAATATTCTGAGAATATAACTCTTATAGTTATATTCTATTAACAATTTCTCATAAATTGTTATGTAACGATTCACCCCGTTACAAACAGGCAGTGCCTGTTACGAATAGCCCATGTGGTGAGTCACCACGCGCGACATATACATCCGCCGCGTCTGCAGCGGGCGCTACGACTCGCAAAGCGGATAAGCCTGGAATAGGGCTCATCTATTCTGGCGAGTCGGATGATGCATCCGACTCGAAGGCGGCGCCTCCTACCTCCGGAGCGCTCGGGGCGGCTACTGCCAGAGCCACGTTGACTGGTGGCGGCATCATGTTCCTGATCTTCATACCGAGCGATTCGTCTGACGAACCCTCGTCTCACGCAAGTCCATCTGACAATAGTACGCGTGGGGATGGTGGTGATGCAACTATGTATCACCACGAGAAAAGCAGCTATAGGGATCGAGCTGCCGCTGGTGTCAGTGCTCATGCTGACACCACTCAAGAGACCATGGACCGCAATGTTTTGCGCCATGATCCTCATGTGTAGTCTCCTTGGATGCCATCATCCAAGGAGGTTAATCGAGTGGCCGGTATGACCGCCGAACGAATCCCGTTGTTTGACTGTAGGAGGATCTATCCTCCTGCTTTCAGCACGGATAGTTTCCAGGCTGAGAAAGAATTCTTCATCGATGTGTTCTCAAGCATCGGTGGTACAACGACAACCGCGGTCTAGACGGTAAGGCCTTGGTGTATGGGTGGAATGCCTTCATCCATAACATCGAGTGCATTGGCCGTGAGGCCTGGCTCGATAAACTTGATGCAGCTCGCATCTGGTTTAAAAAACGTAACCCATACGGTGTATGATACAAGTTGCACTGACTGTCAAGAGAGGCAGGGTTACCCTGTCTCTCGTAAGGCGATCCATGTCCAACTCGCCTGTACAATGCTAATCATGCCCCTAGGTGGGCCTACCTTTTTTCTATTGACCCCTTCCGGAGGGTGCGCATCTCTGCTGAGGTGGACGAAGGGATTGACACCTTGCAGTCCCTATACTCGCGTTCGGGGAGGTTATTTTCCGACGGCCCTTTTTTGAACACAGCGGATGGATCTCGTCATACTGCTCGACGAGACCCAAAACGTCAACAATCAGCTGGGCGCAAGGCTCTAAGCTGTCCTAGGCCGGTGGATACCCACGCCAGCGGACGAGGTAACTCGTCCGGACGCCCTTCACGTCACAGTGACTCAAGATACGCTCCACCAGAAAGCGTCGACAACCGCATGAGTCCACCAAAGGATGTGGTGGCAGCGAGATTGCCTAATACGACTCGAGAGTTAAATCAGCTAGATGTTCAGAAACTGAACCGTGTAACGGAACAGTTGCAAGATGACCTGGATCATGAACGGACTTGGTGTTATGAGCTCCATGACATTGTAAGATATAATTACAATATCTTAGCGCCTGATTGTTCGAACGATCGTGCCGCGTTTGCGTTCGCAAATCTTGAGAACGAACGTTCGACTTGTTCTCTTTGTGACGAGCTGGATGCAGCTGGTCTGGACATCGCTCGACTGCGTGAGCAGGTCGCTTAGCTAGTCGACTGGACTGAATCATGGAAACGGGACCACCTGGGGGTGGTCTCGCCTCTCGACCGCGGAGGTGTTATTCGCATCTCGAAACGGGCTCGTACTGATACTACGGGCGGAGACGTCCAACGTAAACGTAGGATGCGTACATATCTTACTGGGCAGTTCAATCGTGTATGCGTTGCCCATGCATCGCAATACACGAAATGGACCGATATACTTGGGCAGTAATTTAATGCCGCCCACGTTTGTCACTGCGTGCTTCGGTAAGTTTACTGTAGACAATAAAACTAGGTATCCTTCATCAAATGAAAGAACATTTGCTCTTCCATGTTTATCTGCGTTTCATTAGTGCTTGTCTATTGCATCTGCAATAGAATATTGAACAGAGCGGACAACCGCTTCGAGAGTCAGCAGGAATTCGTCTGCTGATTTATCTTTGTCAACAGCAGTGCGCTTCGTGTGCACCGCTGAGAGAACGTTGTTTTCACCAGTGAGGGCGTCATCGTACTCACTGTGGCAGTTATTGGAGATGCTGAAAATGCCAGCATCGTCTTCATCGTCATTATCAATATCGATCCCATCGTTACGTCGACACCGTTGTCGACGGGTGATGAGCAAGAACTAGATCGTTTTTTTTGCTCGAGCGAGTCCATCCCCCCTTACAATAGATTCACAGTCCAAGAAGGCGGGTAAGCGTGGGTGGCGTAGGCCATTCACGAAGAAAGGTGTATGCGTTGTCGACGCGTGCACCGAGTTGTTGATGGCGAATTCATCCATCGGCAAGAACTCACTCCAACTCTTAAACGAGTGTACATACCCTCGAAGTATCTCTTCGAGGACGAGGATGGCGCGTTCCGTTTGACCATCTGTTTCTGGATGGTCAGAAGTTGACATCGTCAAACGTGGTCCAAGTGAACGGAACACGGATTGCCAGAACAGAAGCGGGGGTCCCTATATGACACGAGTTCATGGGGTAACCCGTGAAGCCGGAAGATAGTATCGATGAAGACACGCGCACAGCCCTGGGCTGTGATTGACTCCGGTACAGCAACAAGATGTACCATCTTGCTGAACCGCTCAACAAACACAAGTATACCAGTATTCTTGTAAGCATCTTGGGGAAACCTAAAGACGAAGTCCATCGATACGGACTGTCAGCACTTTGCCGGAATCGGAAGAGGCTGCAAGGGTGCGCGAGATGAAGAGCTAGGCTTCACCCGTTGACAAACTTCGCAAGCGCGAATGTATATGTGCACGAAATTACACTGGCGGGGCCAGTAGAAGTCACGACTTACCGTGAGGCAAATCTTTTCTCTATCGCGATGCCCACTTGATGGGGGCATCGTGACACTCATGCATGATGCGCAATCGCAAATCAATGAGCGGAAACGACGACACGGGGTGTCGCCTTTGACTGCTGTATAAAACAGCATTCCATCACGAACACAATACCGTTCGGTTGGAGAGCAATATTATGACGTCAAGCTTTCTATTGACTGACGCAACGGATAGATAAGTGATACATCGATTGCAGAAGAGACTAATCTTCTGCGTATGTTTTCCGCACGTCGTCAAGCAGAATCGAAGACGAAAAACTCGTTGATAGTGTTACAACAGTAAGATCAATTCTAACTTTGGGGTGAGACAGTCGGCTCGAAATTGGGCCAAAGCGAAATAGTATCAGCGACGACATTGAGTCGTTCTAATTTATACTCGACGGAGAAGTTGTACTCCGCGAAGAAAGACAGCCGCCTCGCCATTCGTTACAAAAGGCCAACACAGGCGATAGCACCAAGTTTTTCTTGATACCTTCAAAGTAGTGCTGACAATCAGCACTCCATGACCACCTCTCGTTTTTCTTTAACAGACGAGAGATGTACGGTCATTTCGGTGTAGTTTCGCGAGTGTTTATGCAAGTACGCCGCCAAGCCAAGGAACTTTAGAAGTCCCTTGACGTCGACTGGCACAGGCCGGTCGCTAATCGCCTTGATCTTTTCCGGATCGGGACATACGCCGTTTTTACCCACGATAAAGTTAAGAAGTGGTATTTCGTTCGCTGCGAATATACACTTCTTGAGGTCGCAAACAACTTATGCTCTCGTATTGGTGTAAGAACCTTCCGGACGTGTATTGTATGAACCTCCACGTCCGTCTTTCCATCCATAGCCCGGCTATGGACGAAGACATTATCGAAATAACTCGGTGCAAAATCTCGCACGGATCGCAACAGATCCGTAACACATCTGTTGAACGTTGCAGGGGACTTGCTAAGCCCCTGTGGCATCACTAGCCACTCCCAGAGCATACCACTGGGGGTGCTCACTGCTGTGTACGGGATATCCCGTTCACGCATGAGGATCTGATAGAAGCCATCCATCAAATCCATGGACGAAAAGATGGTACTCTTTGACATACCATCAATGATGACGTCCTTCCTTGGGATCGGCGTCCGAGCCGGTACCTTTGCAGCGTTCAGTTTGTTGAACGCGTGTACTATCCGCCACCCTCCTGTGGCCTTTCGCACACGGAAGGTCGGAGAGCTGTGTGGGGATGTTGATTCCCTCACATGACCAGCCGCTAATCGATCGGCAAAGAAGTTGTTGATCACTGTTACCTCTTCACGAGGCAATGGCCACTGCTTCATGACACAGTATTTCGAAGCGGGTTTCAGTTCAATCTCATGCCATGTGCCTTTGTCTTTGGGCAGCTCGCATGGAAAGGATTCTGGAAAAATAATCCTGAATTCCACCAAATCCTTATACAAAGGATTTGTCTTCAAAAACTCCCAAGATTGAGACGTGTATCGCTCAATCCGGGTCTTCTCACCGAGGACACTCTCGTCCATCGATGAGCTACTGAGAACCTGTTCCTTTTTTAGCAAACACTTGTGCGGGACAAATATCGGCGACGTACCCGTCCTCCGTGACAAGCACGCAGATCTGCTTGATCTTTTCATCACGGATATATCGCTAGAATCTAATAGATTCTAGCGCTGGATACTTGATTACCTCCGAAGTTGACTTTGGAGGTGTAACCAGATCAAGTGTATAAGCGCCTACACTTGATCCGTCATTCACCAAGACATTAACTGACTCGGTGATTTCCAGGGAAAACACATCCGCAGGTGGCTGGGTAAACAAACCCTCAACACAAATCTCTCGGGAGTTATCACTCTCGGGAACGCTGGAACGTTCTTCCAATACGTGTACTGGCTGTGGTTGCAATACCACAGTCAGTTCTTTTTTAGACAAATATCTTTCGGACTTGCTCTACGATCGACTCTCTGCTAGTCGATCTCGCTTCTATGTGTTGTTCACCATGAACAACACCAATCTCTCTCCTTGGATGCACCCTTCTTGGTGTGCATCCGTGTTCCATTCCACTCGAATTCGAGTGGTGAGCCTTCAGCGCAGCCTGTGTCTCTACACAGGTGCCGGAAGCTGGTTTCACATTGCAGTTGCCTTCTACACTGTGATCTTGGGCAGTGGTACTAACGACTGTACCACAAGTGAGGCCATCGCACTCACTCGTAGTATCCACACGCTTGTGGAGTCTCCGTGACGTTCATCAGATGGCCATCTGATGAAAAAACATCAGGCATCTTCACGGATCGATGCTGCCAGCTGATCTATGGCTGGTAATTCCTAAGCCATGGCAGACCGTGGATGACATCAAATTTGTCCATAAATCTAGTACGATGCAGTCATCATCGTACTGCTTTCGTTCTAGCGTGTAGTGGATTCCTACTACACGTTCATTCACTGTTACAGATGCCCCTGTAGCAAGGCACACCTTCATCCTCGTCGGAGGGAACTCTCGCTCAACATAGTTGAGTCTACTATTCTCTAGCGACCGGCGTCGAATAAAACTGTTCGACGCCTCACAGTCAACTAGGGCGCTAAGTGACATTCCACTTTTTACTTCGATCTTCAAAGTGATGAAGGACACCTCATCACTATGGGCAGTAATACACAGTGACTGTGTGTTGGGAGCAATCTTCGTCAAGAGTCCTGCAAATACTCTTTACGTTGCTGAGTCAACACGGTTATCCGCCCCTACTGACCCTGACCGTTTTTTGGCGGTCCGACTTGCTGTCGCGGTTTTACGACATGGTCGGACCCGCGTCTTGGACCGTTCTTTGGCCAATGGCGGTCATCACGTCCTGTCTTTGAACGTGACGCGGTGCTTGGGAAACTACACTCATGAGCGAAGTGTCCAATCTTCTGACAGCGATGGCACCTTGCCTATCGCTTGTGACTCAGAGAGCGAGAGTTCTCGCTCTCGATGTAATAGAGGTCCATTGGTTCGGGACCTCCTGTTTCCTGTCGTCTAGTCGGACGATACTTTTACAAGATATCGTCCGACTAGACGACAGGATGTCTCAGGCTGAAGTCTTCTTGTTCCGCATACGCTATCGCCCTTTCCAGCGTATGGAAGTTCTCTCGGAACATGTAGGGCTTGAACGGTCCATCTTTAAGACTGCAGATGAAAACGTTGATGAGCGTGCGCTCATCAACAAAGTATTCCTTGACGCTACTCGCAAGGTAGAGAAGATGTTGTGCATAAGCGTGCACATCACCCTTACCTTGCTTTAGCCCTAAGAGTGCAGAGCGTGCTCTGAAGTCGGCTCTTGGCAGCTTAAACGTCTCTTTGAGCCGAGACTTTAAGATCTCTAACGACTCAAACACGTTTGGGTTATGAAGCTTGAGCCCTAAGGCCCAAGTCTTTGCTCGTCCTGTCAAATTTGACAGGGCGAAGGTGACTTGCACCTCGTCACCCTCGATGTGACGGGCCCTTATAGCATCGTCTAATTCGATTAACCATCTCAAAAGGGAATCTTCATCGGTTCCCTTGTACCGTGAGATGTCTATCTTTAAGTTTTTGGGTCGACGCGTGTGCGTCGGCGCACCCATCCACTGATGAGAGCCTTGCTGCTGAAGCAAGGCTATCTTCTGTCTTTCGACAACAAGTTCCCCTTGTAGAAACTTGTTGATAGCGGCATGTTGTTGGTCTCTTTTTAGAGACCCCAACATGCCACTGATGACGGGTTTGTCCATGAGCAAACTCATCGGCCGACTATCTCCCATTCAGAGTCACTCAGACGGGAGTGGCCCTCACGTTGTTAGTCTCTGCTTAAAGACTCGAAGATGCCACTTGTGGCGCGTTCGCCCATGAGCACACTCAGTCGGACGACAAAGTCTCATTAAGAGCTAATCAGATGGGAGTAGCTTCACGTGTGATGTAAAAGCTGTCGTCTTTAACGCTTAACATGTTCATGTTGGACAAAAATAAAAGCTTTCGTTGGACGGACTACGAAGTGCTACCAGGTGTAACGGGGCACCATTAGCTAGGGTGCCACGAAACTTCACGTATACTCGTTTGTGCAGAGGAAATAAACTTACTCAAACCACTAATTTGAGTAAAGGTAAAAAGAGAATTTTATTTAAGATAGTTAAGCTATTAATGTAACTTCAGTCTCTATCGGTCTAATATAGTTAAGCTATCGATATAACTTCAGTCTTTATCTTACTATATTAATCTACATTGTCGAATGACGACAACCTGCTCACCACCCATTTCGCGCGTCTAGCAGCGATTGGTGGTACTCTTGGTTGATATGTCTTTTATCAACCAATCTTCGAGCAGCACGTGAACATTATCTTAAGTGGATAATATTCCTTCAATCTTACCAATCTCGGGTAATATTGGCAGGGAATGGTCACGCTAGACAATATTACCAATCATGGGTAATATTGGCAGGGAACGGTCACGCTAGACAATCTTCCCATTGACACCGTTTGGTGTCATTGTATTTGCCATGTTGTTCTGCAGTCTCGTCTCGGTGTTACCACTTATTTATTCGTCTAATCGTCGAAACTCTCTCAACCTCTTCGCGGTGTGGCTCTTTTTGCAAAAAAGCTCGCAAACACATGCATGAAGAATCCGACTAACCTGTCCCCACTGCACTAGACCATGATACCCTTGGCATCACAAACTATCGGTGGAAGTCAGAATGTACATATCCTAGAGGTGAGCCAACATGTAAAGCTTATAGGTGCGAGTCGGCATGAACCTCCTTCCGTTTCCATTTTTATTGTCACTTGTGCTCTCGTCAATAAGAAAACAGTCTATCGTGCTCCTATCAGTGCAGCACACTGACCCACCTGTTTTCGTGAAAAGGACAAAACATCTTCGTACGCTCCTCACTTTGGCAGAGTAGTCTCTCATGCTCGCATAGTAGAGCAAATGGTTATGCAGCGCCGAGACCCTTCTTTTCCTTAACGCAAATATCTCACCAACGAGACGCAGCAGATGTCTTCCCAAAAAAGAATCTTCCTTGCCGGAACAATCTTGTCGCAGGAGTAAGTTCATTGACGAGTTGTTGTACCTTGGTTGCATCCGTCCACTTCAATCGAGCTCCTGACTGAGGAGCCGATCGGTAAACTATCATCTTGTAACTAATAAAACGAAGCAAACTTAGGTCAGGACGCAATCCCACTTCAATGTAACTGGCAGTCTTTGCATACAGTGTAAACGTTCCATCGACATTTGTCGGGCATATGCATGCTTGCTTCCTGGTAAACATCAGATCGGCCACCGCCTTCGTTTTGTAGATTATCGTATTTCGTCTCAGCAGCTGTAGTGAGCACAGATGTGCATGCAATGGCATCCCGATACGGTACCCATTGCACGACATAATTTTTTTCTTCAGCTCATCAACGTCAGTCGGTTCAGTGAAGGCCAGCGCCCGGTTCGATGATGAACGTTTTGCTTCTACATAGTTGCGCCGACAAGGTGTATCCTTTGTGAGAAGACCTTTGTGCCTTTCAGCAAGATGCCCACGTAGAAGAGATGAATGATATCGGTGCTGAGTGACCGTTTGCTCTACGATGAGAACATGAGAAACTATTTCGCCAAAGTGAGGGGCATACAAGAACGTTTGTCCGCATGTGGTTACAAGAGAGATACTGTGCTTGAAGATAAGTACCATGAAAGACTATTTATTTAACCATAAGGGCAAAAAAGACAGTAGCAATGGGAGGAGCGCCATGACGGTGCGAGACTACGCCGACAGCATGAATAATTCTGGCACAGATTGACTGTTTGTATCTACGATCATAAGCAATAGTCGTTTTAGTGGGGCGGTTGTGCGAGACTGTACTCTCCGAAGCTGGAGGCAGGATAGACTGTGTTATCCGAGATCGGGATCGCGAACCACGCCAATCCGTTGCGAAGTACGTGTGACCGTGACATAGCACCTTTCGAAGAAGAAGGAGTGCTTAATGGTATTCGCTGACCCCCTTTTGATCAGCGAAGCACCATTGTTCGGCTCGCAATAGCGATTTTGGGTCGAATGTGGACGAGTGCACAAAGTGAGCTGCAGTGCTCTGTGGAGCTTGCAGGGCAGAAAGTGTGACAATACAACTGATCGATATTTCATCAAGTTTTCTGTACGCGGATTATCAGAATATGCGTACACGTGCAACAAGCTTGCCGTGGTGGGTTTCAGAGGGGTGCGTTCAGCTCAGCTTTGTGGCATTTCTTTTCTGCTGCAAGGTCTTATAAGTGGGTTGCTGATACCGATGTGTGGGTCTACAAATTTGACGAAGCGCTTGACCACTACTACACACCGTCAAGCTGAAGCCACACTTGTAGATGTCTCCATTGGTCTCGGATCCTGCGCCACTGGACTCCACGAGTGAACCCTAGCGGACCAGGCTGCAGTTCTTTTGCTTACGGTGCAATCAGATAACGATACCGCACCAATGATGATTATAAAGCTGCGCATTCTACGCTCCAGAGGAAGAATCGGAAGAAGCAGCAGCTGGCACAACGACTCGAGACACTGTACGGTCCACGGGATTCGGATCAAAGGAACAGGCTGTGATGATATCCATTCCCGGATGATATGTTTGATTACAGAACACCTCGATTAATCCATTAGAAGCAACCGGTTTTGAAAATAAATAGTGGGAGCTGATAAAAAGGCCTTCCGTCTCCGCAAGTAGCCCTTCAACAGTCATTTACTATCCAAGCTATTCTATTCGATTTAAGGGCCTCTGATCGGTTGGAGTGTAAAATTTACAGCTTGTAAGTATTGGTTCTCGAGCGAATTAGCCGACTACCCTCTAAAATTGACTGCTCATGAGCATCATTCGACATCCCTTCCTTTACATCAACATGTAAGGCTTAATTCGACTGTCGTGAGAGCTTATCGACTCTGTAGACAGCGCCTGTGAAAGTCTAAACATCTATCACTACCAAAAGGATATGCGAAAGTGATCAAACAGCAACGTAGAAAAGGTATTCCCGAGGAAGGTGGCGTTAACGTAGTGAGCATACGGTAGCAATGCTTGAAGCATCCACGGTACCGCAAAAAGATCCACGATGACGAGACGTTCGATCAAGTACTTGATGCAGTTGTTCTTCTCTTGGCTTTAATCTCGCAAGCATTCACAAAAAAATGTTGACAAGGCACGAAAAGCAAGGTACAGCTTGCTGATATTCGGACGCCATCGCCACGCACTTGAACTCTCATAACCACATGGGTAGTCCTTCCGATTGACTCTCGCTTGACTCCTCGAAGCAGTCTACAACACAGTGTAGCAAGCTCGCCAGGCGTTTAACAAAGATGGAGCCGTTGAGGAATAAGTTATCGCAATCGGGCGCTAATGTGGTGACCAGCAAGAAGTAAATTTTAATTCCATTAAAAGATCTGAGGGCTCAAACATCCTATCCCTTAAAAGGTATACCAAAAAAAGGTACAGGCTTATTCGGTGGAGACGTCAAACGGGATCCCTAATTCGAGACCACCTTCGACTAAAAGCTTCGTTTGTGCTCGTCAAGTGTCGCGGTAAGAAATAACCCCGACAGCGCAGCTAAATATAAATCCGGCGCTTCTTTTTTACGAGAAGAAAATGATTACCGTCCACCGATGCGATTACGCTTCCAATCGACCGAATGGACCAGAGCCAGGGCAGGTAAGTCCTTCGATCTGCGAAAAGGACCATTCGCGCCATAAGACAGTCGCCCCGTCTTGTCGCTCGCCCTCCTCTGTCTCTTTTCTTGTCCCTCACCACTGGTCCAACTGCTGCAGCGCCCTACATTGTCCAGTCTCTTCGCACTCAACGGCACGTATACACCCACCCTCCCACGTGTGTAAAAACGTGTAGTCCCCAAAAAACTACCAGCTCAATTGTCCAGCCAAGTCGCGACGCTCATCGGCGTCATGAACGTGTCCACGCCCACTCGCACGATCACGCTGCAGCCCGACAAGACGGTGGCAAATATCAAGGCTGCAACAGCTTCTGGGTCTCGTTCAAGTCCCGCCGTCACGTTTGGTCCCGCCGTCACGTTTGGTGTTACCGCTAATACTACTACTACTTCCATGACTATTTTAGCCAAGAAGCATCGTCCATCTGTGACTACCACTCCTACTATACCTACGACCACCGTGACTGCTCCGACTACCAGCTCCGAGTCAAATGTCCGAGACTGTATAAGCTGCCAAGAAAAGCCCCGGAGAGGACGTCGGCGTCTGTTGCATGACGATGAACAGCGTAAAGCAAGACGGAAAGCGCAGTGTCGACTGAACCAGCGACGGTACCGAGCGAGACAGCGGGGAATTATCAGTACTTTGTCGCTCGAGACGGGCGGCCTAAGTGGCTACATGCAGGATTTGTGTGACTACCGGGACTTTTTAACGAGTTACTTTACCCACGAGAGCGAGTTTGTCGCAGGGTTTGATGAAGAGCGACCCGTGCTGGTAGTCAAATATTACTTGAGGACATTTCGAGCAGGGTTCGCGCTACATTCGACCGAGTCAAGTGCTTTACAGGAGAGTTTTGTACGCTTAGTTTGTGCACCAGATTTGATTGCTCAAGGAGTGACGACGGATGGGATTGACGCGCTTTTACTCCAACTGAAGCGGTACACTTCGTACCATGGCACGTTTGACATGCGGCCACAGGACGTGCGTGTGCTTTTTGCTCCAGAACAAACGGCACAATGGTGTACGGAGGACAAAGCTGTGTGGATTGTACAGGCAAGAGGGAGGGTGAAGCTCCGGCTGTCACGGGATACGCTCATGCTAGTATACCCCCATGTGCTACGGCATCATGACCGACTCGCTCAACGTATTCTGGGTCAGACGATCGAACCGGAGTTTACAATGACTTTCTACTTTGACGCCGATGCGAAAGTGACCAAGTTGGATCAACAGATCGACTTTGCAGGTGCTTTCTTGCGTCTGCTGGGTGTGATAGAAGACGTGGCTACGTTGCTGGATGGTATGCTGATCTCATCGTTCTCAGAGCTGGGATTGGACTCGCAAGGGACGACGGCCGAGTCGGCACTCACGCGAGGATGTAAACAGCTCAGTCTCAGGTACATTCTCCTGTAGCAACAAGCTCGTGATACTGGTAGTAGTAGTAAACTGTTTCTGTAGCTAGGCTCGCCTGCTGTGGCAAGCCTATGCGGCATGACGTGGTAATACAAGTAATCTAGTTGGTTCTAGCGCGTGAATAGGGTGAAGCGTATAGCAGGTATAGAGACGGAAGAAAAGACGAGCACCTTGCAATGTCACGACACTTGTGCATTTGCTTCGGTTACATGGTATGAAAGTAGAGCAGCCCAACCGTTTTGTTGCGATGCTTTGGTAGTCTATTCCTTCTTGTAGTAATTGGCTGGCACAAAAGGCATCTTGGTGATGACAGCCTTCTGCACTTTGTTACGAGCCTTGACATGCAGCTCGGTGCCCAGCTTTCCCGAGCTCTTGTCCACGTACGCCATTCCAATCGCTTTCTTGAGCGACGGGCTGAACATGCCACTCGTCACACGACCCACGACCTTGTCGTCAGCATCGAAAAGCTCAGCACCTTCTCGCGCGGCTGCTCCTTCCACGACAAACCCAATGCGCTTTTTCGTCGCTGACTTGTTCATCAGCTGATCCATAATGATCTCGTGGCCAGGAAACCCTCCTTGCTCACGGCGACGTTTGCCAATCGTCCAAGCCAGCATGGCTTCAATCGGCGTCGTCCTGGCTGTAATATCATGCCCATGGAGACACAATCCCGCCTCAAGACGAAGACTGTCACGGGCTCCAAGACCTGCTTCCAGCACACGTTCATCTTCAAGCAACGCGCGGGCCAGCGCGTGCACGTCCTTGTTCTGGACAGAGATTTCAAACCCGTCTTCTCCAGTGTACCCACATCGTGTCAACACCACGTCCACTTGGTTCCCGTCCGGTAGCGTCAACGGCGTCAATGCTCCGTGCATAAACCCAAGGTCTTGCAGCTTTACCTTGGACTTCAACATCTCGACCACATCAGCTGCCCCTGGACCTTGAAGAGCGACTAACGAGTGGTCGTCCAGACACTCGATCGCTGCGTCTCCCTTGAAATTCTCAAGGTGGTGGTGCAAATGCACAAGATCCACGTCTCGATTGCCAGCGTTCACGACCACGTACACGTGATCGTCATAGCGACTGATGACGCAGTCATCAATGATGCCGCCGCGATCGTTGGTCAAGAGACTGAGCTTGGCTTCTCCAGAGCTTAGAGCCAGTAGATCACCTACGACCACACTCTCAAGGAACGCGAGACGGTCCGAGCCTGTGATCCGCAGTTGGCCCATGTGCGAGACGTCAAAGAGCGAGGCATGGCCTTCTTCCCGAGTATGGAGATGAGACTGCAGGACGCCTGCTTTGTATTGCACAGGCATGGCGTAGCCCGCAAATGGGACCATTTTACCACCAAGAGACACGTGCAGATCATGTAGAGGAGTCTGCTTGAGATGGGGGCTGGCAGCGGACGAGAAGCGGCGGCACAGGACGCGCGCGACGGACGACGGACGGATGACCATGGCGATTGGAAATGGGTGGACAGGAGCGCGACACACTACAGACGAAGAATTAGAACGAGGTTGACGTTGTTTTAGGAACACGGGCAGGTGGAAATGAGAGAGAGGGGCTGTAACTGGATATTTTTTAAGAGCAGTACCCTTTTTCAATGACATTTGCGAGTGGTATTTTTACGTAGTGGCAGATGGAAGAGATGTGAACTGCGTTACAAATCGTACACCTTTATTTTTGTCACCAGCGTTGCAGTGTAAAGTAGCAGCAGCGTGAACACCCACCCTATCTCAAGCCAAAGATGTTTAAAGCTTACCACTAGCTCTAGAACTGATCCGTAAGATGCATTGGTTCTCTTAATTTAACAGATAAACAATTAGAATCGTGGAAGAGCCGGCGCCCATATAAAATGTCGACCAGCTGCAATGACGGTGGTATACAATGTTTTATTGCGATAAGGTTGAAGTCGACGATTCGTGCACATGGCCATTAAATATTGCGTGTAAATAACACTGTCAGCTGATGCCTCTACCGCAAAAAACGATTCGACGCGTAGCTCACGTTGACATTTTTGCAACCAAAAGCGCCATGTAGATTGCTGTCCGCAAAAGCGTTTGGTCTGTTACGACCAAACATCACGCGGGGTATACCCAGTTCTGTGCTACAGCTAAATTTGTTGTGAGACTTGCCGAGCTCAAAAAGGCCACCTCGGCTTCTTGTCGATTTGCGGTGCAATAATAATGACAAAGCGCCAAGAACAATGGCTTATGACTTGTGTAGCAAACCCAAGACTCCTTTCCGTGCAAACAATGACGTTGAGCTTTTGTAAATGCAAAACGAAACCATCGATTCAGTACGATCATTACCTCCAAACAAGGAATTAGATCTCCACTATTGCCAATACGAAGCCTGAGACTGCGCTTGGCAGCCAGTTGGAGTACAGTCCGGATCAAGGTGAGCCTGGCTGCCGACATGAGCCTTACAAGTAGAGTAAAAGTACATACTGAGTGTACTAGTTGTCAATTGTACCGTGCTGACAGCGAAGCGAGACGTGAAGGCTGCTTACCAGTGGTGCATTTAGTTGTTGAGTCGGAAGACTCCAGCAAAATGCCTCTAGAGCGGATGTACTTCTTCATGCACTGCAATGGCCGTACAAATGCCGAAGCACAGCAGCTTTTTAGACACGCGGTTGGTAGTTATCAAAGTGCTTGGGAACCGTTGTATCTAGATGTGCTGCCCATGTGCACGCTGTCAGTCTGCACAATTCTGCAAGCGAGTTATCACATCAGAAGTTTCTAGTCAGTACCAGCACATTTGCTCTTTGACACTACCTTCTCGTGCGCAATCGCGGCTTTCTTGTACTGATTAGCTATGTAACTTTTGGTAGAGTCTACAGCTACACAGCATCAGTCATACTTGGAACAGGTCGCACTGATAACGATAACGATAACGCTACCTGTGTTTTTCGGCTGACCGTCAGGTTCTTCGATCCAGCATCCAGGCCAAATTTTACTGCACTTCGCCGCAAACGATGATGGCATTGTGCTCGGTGAGTGATTCACTAGCGATACACGATACAGTGTAAATTCTAAGCGATACCCGATTCTTAATCAGACGTTCAACTTGAGTGCTGTCAATGCCAAAAGAAGCCCCTACTATCCCCACGTGACGTTTGAGACCCTTTCCGCTCCTAATTATTAGTGAACACTCGCACACTTCCAGCTTTACAACCTTGAAGCACATGATCGCTTGACAATCTCTACAAGCAATATCGACTCCATGAGGTGTAAAAACCATGAAGTGCGCCACTGGCAGTACAAGCAACGAGTTGGATAGGCCGACGAAGTAGATAGTTTTGAAATGCCAATGCATGTTGATCTCATTTGCAGCTGCCGCACCCACTTGCACGTTAATCTACCAAGCTAAGCCTATTCTAAAATGCAATTCATCGTTTGACAGCAAGAGACTGCCGCGCACCTTTCAAGAGCCTGGTCAAGAGGCAAGGAGCTGTCATTGAAAGCCAGCCCTACCGCCATATCCTGTAGACTCGCAGTAGACTCTGCAAAAAAGAGTGGGGTATAACATGAAGATGTACCGGGCGTCATGAGCTTACTTGTTCGAGAGTGATAAAGGAGAGGCCATCAGAAAGCCTACGCCTCCATGCCATCTGACACGCATCATGACTGGCACAAGCCAAAGGGGACACAGATGCTCAATCCTAGCAGTGTAGATTGCTCGCTGGCACATTCGGATGACTGCAGCGGTGCGCTAGTAGGTTGGACAGGATCCAAAGATAAAACAATTTCGAGTACGCAACGAACGTCAGAATCGAGTTCTAGCGATTCCTTTCCAACATCGCAGTTTGTAATGTTATACGCATGTCATAAGTCGTAGCCGTTCATCACGCGGACAGCTGGAGCAAGAAAAGAGTGAGTGAACGAATACGCAGGATCACTCGTTTCTACGCTAGAGTTTTGGCTGCAACAGTGCGTAGCAGACCATTCCAAACTCAGCTATGCTTTCAGCATAATCTTGAAAAGGTACGCTCGAGCTTCACTGGTGTACCGGATCACTAAATGATCTATTGTTTGTTCCCGTACATCATTCGTTTTTGCCTTGTCGGCTTCTCGTCTCACTCAGGAGTGACACATGAGCAGACATCGCACACGAACTTCTATGGACACAAGAGATCACCTGCAACAAATGCGCCATTCCGAATGTTCAGACATATACGTATTTATTGTTTGTTTCTGCGTTATGAATATGCATCAGCGCATAGTAGTCTACTTCTTCATGGTTCACCACTCGCCGACGATGCGGGCAAACGGACATATAACTACAACCGCAGGCGGTCAGTCGATGCTTTCCTAAGTCTTCATCGGCGCTTGCCACTCGCTCTTGCCCTGCATCCACATCTTTTGGTCTGCTGATGTCCACTGCTAGTTAGCTAACTATGCCGCTGCCGCCTCGTCCGTCTTGTGCTTCACGTACCGAGGCACTCCGTAGCCACCGCTGGTGTTGGGCCAGACCCACTTCTGCCAGTCTGTACGTAGACGAATCTTTTCATTCTGCTCATCGAGCTCAATGGTCTTCGAGTGTTTCATGGCCTCCAACAGCGACTCGTAGTCCTGGTGAACCGAGTAGACAGCCTGAAAGCTGCCTACAAAAGCCAGGGGCACGTACCCATCAACATCCATGTGCTGACGCAGGAAAATGTCACGCACCAAGTTGTCGCATGTGAAGTAGAATTCACTGCATTGCGTTACAAATACCAATGACGCATCAGATCAATTGTACAGTCAGCATGCACGCGGCATCAACTAGACATATCGAACCTAGAATAACGATAGACAATCACGTACATTTGGTTCTTGGCCCATTGCGCCGTCACGGTAACGTCCGGCGTGGGGACATACACGCCATTGTAAAACGAGCCGTGACTGTCTCTGTATTGTCGACGTCCGCCAGAGCGCCCCCCATTCCGAGGGTACCAGCCACCACGACTATGGTGCTGGTCGTAGTGTCCTCTACGCATCCGTACATCCGCACGCACATCGTCTTTATTCGTACCGCTACCAGCACTCTCTTCTCTTTCGGGTGTTACCACCTCGTCACCCTCGACGGGAACCTGCGACCAATTGAATTTGCTCTTGCGCTTGGGTTTGGCATTGCGAGTAGCAGATGGCTGCGACTTGTGGCCCACCTCTTCCGCTTCCACGAGGTGGTACTTGATCGTGCCCTCGGCAGCCACTGCGTCTGTTGCGTTCATACCCATTGGACCAAGCAGCTCGGAGGGTTGAAATGAATTGAGCTTTTGGGTCAGGAGCTGTTGCTGCCAGTCAAATGTTGATGTGTGGACGTCGGGCCGGTAGATGCCAAACGCGAGGTTTCGAGCAATCGAAGTTGCGCCAAGGTTATGTTGCACATCAAAGTATGCGGTTGGACAGGCACGCAGCAACGGGGTTCAAGACCACGAGTGTCTTGAGTCCTCTTTGAGCTGAGACTAGACATTTTGGATTCGTCGAACAATTGATCGTACAGATTCCGGGATCGTCTCGATAGTAGAAGAGAAGATGCGACAAAGGACCGATAAGACGAGACGATCGCGCACTTCTTTGCCGCAAGTCTGTTGAAGTAGCGCTGGTGCTTTTGTATTGGAATAATTATTGGCGTGAAATCATGTTGATCAAAAGCGAAGAGTGTAGTCTTTGCGATATGCGCTTCGAGGAAGCGTGGCCACCACGGTTGAAATGTGACGTATCTATATTACTGTCACATAGCAGGGTACGACCTTGCTTCATTCGTGAGAGTTTGTGAAGCACGCGCTGATTGACGAGACCAAACAGTTAGCGCTGTGTTTCATATCACACGAGTTTCGCTCATACGTGAGTCTCTACAGGGAATTTAGTAACATTCGTCACCAGTTTATCTCCATGATGCTTTTAGCAACACCAAGGGCAGAGCTGTGCTTTTGTTCAGTTTTTTTACGGTAATGGCACTAAAAAGACTAAAACGAAGATGTAGTACACCTTGTTCCCCTTCTTACACGTCTAACTCGACAATTATACCTACCGAGGCATAGCTGGTTCGTTCAGCTGGAACACTGCAAGCTACTAACGCTCAAACATGGCGCACGTAGAAGAAACTTCGCAGTCATTGTCACACACCGGTAATCCACCATGCACCTACAGTTCTGCCTTTGGCAATCTGTGTACAGAACACCACATTCCAAGGCTCGTCAGGACAAAACTCTTTTTTTTTGTCAACGCCCGACACGGTGTACCCGGCTCACGGTACAAAGTGACGACACCTTTGCGACCACCCATTTGGTTGTCCAGTGGTCCTAATTTATATTGTCGACCCAAATGGGCTCAAGCACGTGTACGCGCAAGCGCAAGGCTGGTCACCTGGGCTTCCAGGCGAATGAAGTTGCGTTCATTGAAGATGAGATGGCAGCATTGGCAGCCGAGTATGGACTAGAAGTGGACCGAGACGTGGCCAAGCACGTGCAGCAGCGCAAGCAGCACAAGAAGTCGCGGCGACGACAGTATGTAAGCCCCCAAGTTGAACCCACTTATAGCCGCAACATAAGCGCAACTTCACGGGATAACCACTCGTCAGATGCAGAGCTTACGTTGCGCGAGCTCAACGACGAAAAAGCTGTCCACGATCAGTGTCTCGTGCATGTAGCTGCTGTGCTGCCAGACACGTGTGCTCTAAGAGCTTGTAGTGTACCTGGCTGTTCGTGTGTAAACGGATCCAAGTCCATTGGACTGCAAAAACAACGAGAGGACGGTGACAAAAAGAGCACAAACCACGTGCTGAAGAGGGTCGAGTGTCACAAGTGTCACCATGGCGTGTTGCAGCATTCGATAGCGGTGCGGGAAGATGTCGCTGATGGTATTGTAGCCCAATTAAGTGGCGGTCAACGACTGTTGCAGACCTTGTTTCAAATTATTCGATTTGGAAGGATCAGTGCGACATGTTTTCAGAGTCGTGTGTGGACCACATCAGCCCTCGACCAACTGGATACAGTGGTCGTACACCTCAAGCGACAATGTACGACTGGAGGAGCGCAAAATGGTCAAAAGTCTACCGAGGAAGTGCAGCAAGAGCGACAACTACTATTGAAATTGCAGACACAATTGCAAAAAGCTCAGCAAGCTGTGCGTACAGCGTCTTGGGATGAATTGCGTATTTCATTGGCCTGTGTGTGGGACCAAATGTACTACCAAACGTACTATGTGGCTCTCGTGTTGTACGGACGTGCCTGTGGTGCTGTACCTTCACCCGAAGAGTACTGGAAAGACCTCGATCACTTTATTCCTGAAAGTACATTGCAATGGGAAGCTTTTGTCCATCAAGAGCTCTTGAGCTCGAATGTACCGTCTCGATTGATTGCGTCGCTGGCACTTCCAGTTTTGGCATCGTTAGGAGCATCAAAGGACGAACTCGGACGTGAAAAGCTCCGCCAAGCTCAGCAAGAGAGGGACAACCCTTTGTTAGCTATTTACCACGCACGGCTGCGTGAAGGTGTGCGACTGTTTTATGAAGAAGGTGTTGGGATGAATGGCGAAATGGACGCTGTGCTCGCGAGACCTCCAGGTACTGCGCACATCCAAATTACTAGTAAGAACATCAAGAGTTCAAAGAGAAAGCCGCTCAAGAAAAAAAAGGACCGTTGGGAGAGGAAAAGTGGGGCTCGGACTCGAAGTGATGGCGACCAAGACTTGTCGGCTGCACTAGTGGAAATGCCTTGCTACCCGCTTCTTGCAGACTGGCGCAACAATTGTCGCGATTGGTGCTGTCACTTGTATGCGTATGCAACTCCTACAGAGCAGGCACTGGATGTAATGGCAAATTATGCTCCACTTGTCGAGATAGGCGCTGGTACAGGCTACTGGAGCTCGCTCTTGCAGCGCCGTGGTGTCGATATTGTCGCGTATGATAAAACTCCGCCGAGCAATGAGGGTGCAGGTGGCAATGTGTATCATGGTCACGTGCCTCCGTTCTGCTCCGTTGGTCAGGCGGGTCCAGAAGTGCTTGGCCGGGAAGATCTGGCAAAGCATAGTTTGTTCTTGTGCTACCCACCACCAGGTGATGCCATGGCATTTCAAAGTGTCCAGCTGTTCCAGGGGAACGTGATCCTGCACGTTGGCGAGTGGCAGGGTGATACGGGTGACAGACGCTTTGAAAATGAACTCCAGCGCCGCTTTGTGCTCGTGGAGGAAGTTTCGCTGCCCAACTGGGGCAACTCAGCGTACGGTCTGACAGTGTGGCGTCGCAAGGCGAAGGATGTCGAGCACGTGGCTTGGAGAGCAATGAGCTGTTTCCAATGTGAAAAGACGCTCAGTGATGCCGCTGCCGAGGGCACGCGGCTGCGACGATGCGTTGTCTGCAAGACCAATGTGTATTGCTCGCCTGTTTGTGCGCAACGAGACGCGGTAGGTCATGCTGCCGAGCACGCAGTACGGCTAGTGTTTCTGGAAGCTCCTACTTCAAGTTTGGCGTACGACCGCATGTTTGAGAACACCGCCTACTATCGCGAGCTGCTCGAGCCGGATTTAGATGACAGTGTTGTGGCTGTTAAGAGTGATTGGAACGCACTGGTAAATGTTGACGCTGCAGCTCAGTGCGACGATACGAATTCCGATGATGAAAGTCATGATGGAGACAGCGAGGAAGAGGAGGACGTCTCGAATACCGAGATCGAGTCCGGGAAAAGCTCGATCAAGGCTGCTTTCGCTTTCAACTTTGGCATGTAACATAAATGAAACACTGCACGTAGAAAAGCAGGCACGTGGATGCAATTAGTGAGTGAGGACTTTACGATGTGTTTAAATGCTCGTGTTGTAGTTACTAGCAAACTTCTTGGATAACTAGACGCTATTGTTAGTTCTGCACACGTGACCGCAGGGGGATGAATTTAAAGGGACCACAGAATGGACCGCTTCAGTATCTACGATCGAATTCCACTCTGAGCCTTAGCCGCTCCTGAAGCCGCAGTGACTGAAAGATCTCCCGGCAGCAAGGACGAATTCGCAATAATTCCTCCTATTTTGCCGTTTTATGCGCACCCCAATCGACTAGTGACTGCCAGTGTACAATGTCTTCATCGCTCTATCTTGGTCTTCTTAAACTGCGAGTTTAGTGGATCAATTTGACCGCCAAAAACGCTGATTATGCACTCCGGGCCATAAATATACGGCCACCCACTCCAGTCATTCGAATTCGCTCACTTTCTGTTTAATCAACAATGTAACGGGGCACCGGAGCAACACACTGGACAGCCAGTGTGGAGCTACTAACACCGACAGCAGAGTGAGTGGTGCCTCGCTACCTCTGTAATTCGGCAGAGGAAGGGAAAGCAACAAGGAACTGACTAGTTGCTGGCAAACGTAAAACTGCATCAAATATAATTAAGCACTAATCATCAACCTATGTTCGAGTCCTAACTTAATTATACTCTTTCTCGAAATGGGTGCTAAAGCCTTGGTCAACACTCATAGCACGCGTCCATCGTTCGTTGGACCACTAGAGCTGGTTAATATGATGGCCATAGCAACCAATCGGTCAGTGCTTCTGAATTTTACCCGTAATGGTAATGTTTACGAACACTATCAATCTTTGTAAAAATCTTCTATTTAACAAGTATCAAGAGCTGATTCCATGTAACAGGCTCACCCCGTTACATCACCACCCTTAGACAGTCGTCACCCGATCACTATCGTGTTGATGTAGTCACCGTAAGACCACATCAGGGACAGGAAGCACTTACTGGTCCGATCCGCTCATTTTGTATCTTCATCGCATGGTGAGCAAGCCCGTGCGATGCGCGGTGAAAGCTGCTGAGGAGACAGATGCGCGTTTAAAACACAACTGCTCTTGACGAAGCTCAGCCTCTCGCGGCAGTCGAATTTCTGTCTGATGCTACTGCAACTCTTCCTGCAGCACTAGTCGTCGCAGATGCACGTGGTGTATCGCCACGTGCCAATGACAAAGTAATCTCCAAATATAATTTATCTATTCGGGGATGTCGGACGGTGGGTCCGACTCGAACAAGACGCCTGGGTGTCCCGAGTCTCATGGGGGCGGTGAAGATGAGCCTACGAAAGGACTCGAGCGGGCATACAGGCTCATGGTCACTACAGGATTCTGTTTAGTTCGAAAGGTGAGCATGCTGACTCCTCCCCCGCGCCTGCTACTGCGCATTCGATTATGGCGAATGCGGTGATGTTTTGAAACGTTCTGCTGACGATTCTTGTGGTACCAAGACTTCCATTATTACCGTGCAGCAAACTCTAGACGGCAATGTGCTATGTCTAGCTCTTAAAACAAGCCTTGGGTTCTACCAGAAATGCTAGTGAATGACTTGTCAGGCGAGACAAGTAAAAAAAATCAAAAATCGATATTCTATGCGAGGATTTTGCACGGCCTCGACATCAGCGCGAGCAACTTTCGCGCTGAAGAGGACATATCCCGATGCTTTTCTTCAGCGTCGTTTGTATAAAGGCAACAACAAGCGAGACAAAATGCTCGTTACTGCAGGCGAGATACGCTTTTATACTTATTTTACAGCACAGTGGGGTTAGCATGGCTTTGGAAACTTTCCATAGCTCGTTCAAGGTTTGAGATTCAAACCTTGACTGGTGCAAAAGCCAGGTTGCCCTATCGGTTTTAAGGCAGAAATTGCATTCATCACCTTGGGCGAACCATGTCCGTGGTTTTACGACAGCATTTAATGCATCCAAAAGGTATGTGCGCTTCCTTCTTTCGTCCTGAGGTAGGGCACACATCTCTTCTTAGATGCGCGATGTGACTGCTGGCCTGAATCGCTCCACCAGCGTCATGTGCGCGTGTTGCCAGTGGCCCTTCTACGACATCGGATGTGTTTCATCGAACTGGTGGACAAGACCCTCAACGTCAATCATCAGCTAGGCGCGAGTCTCCCAGCTGTCGTAGGACTGCGGATAGCCGCGTCATCGAACAAAAAAACGTTTTGGTCCCTCTTCACGTCACGGGTTTTTAAGATGCGCTTCACGTAAAGCGTTAACCACCGTGCCAGTCCACCAACGGATGTGGTGGGGGCGGGAAGATCACCTCTGAATTATTTTTGAAGTTTCAGACGGAGCTTGATATTGTTCAGGAATTTTTACGCGATCTGTGTGATCGCACCAATTAAGAAAGACAGGCTTTTCTCTTTAAATGCGTTGGTCCATCGCATCCGCCTTTATTGTTCTGATGACCGAGAGAAATTCGTGTTTTATAATCTTGAGAACGAGCAGAGGCGTCTTAGTCTTTCGTAAAGATATGTCTGGCATTCGTCGCCAACATGCGGCACTAAAAAGCCAGGTTGAGAAACTGGCTCAAAAAATTTAATGTCTTGGAAATTCTTGAGCGTGGCGGGCGCACTCGCCCGAGGAAGAGAACTCGTGCTGACATTACGGGTGGAGACGTCCGACGTAAAGTTTAGGGTTCGTGCGTGTTCTGCGAGGCAAATCGATCGTGTACGCATTGCCTTTGTGGTGTAGTACACCAAGCGAGCCGATATACTTGAATAGTAGCTTACTAATAACTTTGACATTACTATCTACGTGCTTATGTAGATTTACCGTAGACAGTAGAACTAAGTTTCAACATCTGATATGAGAACGTTTGCTCTTCCTTTTTCGGCGTTTCGTTTCTGCAGGTCGACTGCGTTAGCGATGGCGTCTTGAACAAAACAGACCACTGATATTCTAGTCAACAGAAAGTTCCCTGTTAACTCTGTTGTGTTTGTATCAGCGCTCTTGGTGCACACTGCTAAAAGTTGTCTCTGTTCGTGAGGGTTTCATCTTTCTCGCTGAAATAGTCACTAGCGATGATAAAATACCATCATCGTCGACTTCATCTTGGTCAGATACAGTGTCGTCTCTATTGCTGATGTCACCTTCTTTGATGTCTATTTAATCGATATCGGCATTGTTTACGCCGTCGAGTATTTCGACACGTGATGGTCAAGAGACAGAACGTTTTTTTGCTCGATCTAAAATTCCCTAAAGTAGTATCATACTATAAATGGGTAGGTAGGCATGGATGGCCCACGCCATCCACGAAGAACGGTGTATACGTTGTTGACGCATGCACGGAGTTGTTGATGGCAAACTTCACTATCGATGAAAGGTCGTTTTAATCTGTAAAAGATTGGACGTATCCTCTAATTTTCTCTTCAAGGACGCGTTTGACAAGTCCCGTTGGACCATCTCTTTTGGGATGCTCAGAAGTAGACATAGCCGGATGTGTTCCGACGTATCGTAAATAGATTTGCAAAAAGTCCGCCGTTAATCGAGGGTCTACATCAGAGACTCGATCACGGGGCATACCATGAAGTCTGAATAACTTGTCAATGAAGACATATCCCTGTGCTGTGATTGACTCCCGAAGGGCAGCAAGATGTACTATCTTGCTGAAACGATAATAAAAGACAAGAATACCGTTATTCTTGTGAGCATGTCCGGGAAACCGAACATGAACTTTAGCGAAACCGACAGCTAGCACTCTGCTGGGATTGGTAGTGGCTGTAGTGGTGCAAGGGATGAAGGACTAGGCTTCAATCTTTAGCACAACTCGCAAGGACAGATTTACTTGTGCACAAACTGATACTAGCTGGGCCAGTAACAGTCGCGACGTACCGCGAGACAAGTCTTCTCACACCCATGATTCCCACTGGATGGTGCATCATGACACCTATACAAGATGAAAGACGCAAATTGTTGTAAGTGGGGACAACAACACCAGTTGTGTCGCCGGCAACGGATGTATAATGCAGCAACCCGTTGCGTATTGTGTATCGATCCGCAAAGGATCGGTAAATGGCAGGGCAATCTTATGCGTTTTACGAGATGGAGTCAAAAGATGATACATTAGTCGAAGGAGAGCCTTATCTTCTGCGTAGACCGTTTTTATTTCGTCAAGCAATGTTGACGACGAAACATTATTGACTAGTGTTGCAACAGTCGTTTTAACTCACTTTTGGACTGCGCAACCGACTCGATTTCGGGTCGGTGCAATTACGCGTCTGCAACGACATTAAGTCGTCCGGGTTTGCACTTCACGGAGAACTTGTCCTCCGCGAAGAAGTACAGCCACATCGCCATCCTTTGCGAGAGGTGTGGACTGTGTACGGCCGTGCGTAATGAAGCATGGTCCGTATCGACTACAAAAGTCCTGTCTCCTTGTTAGTAGACGATAAAATTCGCCAGTGCGTACTTTATGGTAAGGAGTTTCTTGTCACGCACTGAATAATTACGCTCAGCTGCTTGAAGATGACGCGAATGATTGCAGACGACGCGCTCTGAGCCGTCTGCATCGTACTTAATTAACGCGCAGCCGTTCGGGATATCGTTGGTGTCACAGACCACGCGAGATGGTTGCCTTAATCTCTAATCGACAAGATAAGCAATTGTATCAAGCTCTGCTTGATATTTTCATGGGGACACTAACAAACAGCGTTCCATGACCACATCTCGTCCTTTTTTAATGACGAGAGAGGTGAGCGGTAATCTCAGCATATTGAGCAAATACTTGTATAAGAACCCCAACATACCAAAAAAATTTGATCTGCCATGAATCGAATGGCACAGGCCAGTCGGTGATCGCCCTGATCGTTTTTTGGATCAGGGCGTACGCCGTGTTTGCCTACGATGCACCCAATACTTGGTATTTCGCTAGCAGCGAATTTACACTTTTTGAGGTCGACAAAAGCTTATGCTTGCTTTTACCTGTAAAAACCCGACAGACGTTTTCTTTGAACCTCCACGCCCGTCTTTCCATCAATAGCTTGGCTATGAACGAACCAAATGTAAGAGCGACTCGGTGCGAAATCTGGCACCAGTTTCAACAATTTTTTTACACATGTGTTGAACGTCGCAGGGGCGTTGCTAAGCCCTTATGGCATTACCAGCCACTCCCACAGCTTACCGCTCGGGTGCTCAGTGATGTGTACGGGGTGTCCCTTTCACGAATGAGGATCTGACATAATCCATCCATCAGATCCATGGACAAAAAGATGGTACTTTTTGCCATACCCTAAACGGTGACGTCCTTCCTCGGTATCAGCGTTAGAGCCGGTACCTTTGCAGCAGTTATTCAGTTACATGCGCGCACTATCCACCATACCCCTATGACCTTTCAAACACAAATGCTCGGAAATCTGTGAGGGAAAGTTGATACCCGCACATCACTCGCTGCACAGCGATCGGCAAAAAAAGGGTCGATCGCAAGTACTTTTTCACAAGGCAGTAGTCACTGCTTCATGACACAGTTCTTCAATCCTATTCTGATCTCGATATTACGTCGAGTCTCCATATCCTTATGGAACTTGCATGATACGAATTCAGTGAACACGTCCATGAATTCGATCTTGTCCTTAATTCATGAATTTGCCCGAAAGGACCCCCGAGGTTGAGACGTGTATCACTCAACTCGAGTGATTTACGTCTTAATCTTCTTATCAAGGACATTTTCTACCGATCAGCTGCTGAGAATCTGTGGCTCAGCGGTCACAAGGAATTTTTATTGGGACTTGGATCGGCGATCGTACGAATCGCACGCCTCAGTTAAACCAAGAATGCTATGATTAGTGGATACAGGCCGGGACGGGTGGCTGGCAGTAGCGTGCCCAAACCCCAAGTGGACAGGATTGTACAGCCTGGGACGAGGCTACAGGGTGGTCACACCCGTTTTGATTAAGCAATCCTTCTGAGACGTGGCAAGACAAGATCCTCGATCTCACTGGAAGACCGCAATCCTAACCCAGGATCGCAAGTCCGATCTCAGCTGCGATCCGCTAGTAGGATCACGATCCGCTAGTAAAGATCACGATCCGCTAGTAGGATTACGATCCTAGTAGGATCACGATCCGCTAGTAGGATCACGGGAATACATTGGGTGGGCCACAAGAAGATACAACTGCTGATATACTGGGTGTGGACCACACATATGCGAGGGGACGATCTTCCTGGAAAGGCGACGCGTGGCATCTGGTTAGGATATACGGATAGGCATAGGGGTAGGGTTTAGATTGGTTGGTTAACATTAAACAGAGTTCAATTTACTTCACAAGGCACACGTTATCTCTTCCGGGTAGGATATTTGGCCCCCCGTCGAATAAAGAGTCGCGCTACACGTCTACGCAAGTATCACACCTGGATTGTTTTGGCCAGGTGTGTTCGAGAACTCTCAAGCAACATCAAC